CCAGCATGACAAAAACAATTTGCTATGCCTGTGGTGGACACCATGTTCCAACTTTTGTACACATAGAAAATGGCATCCAAGACAGTAATGTGAAACTCCTTTTTTTGGTTGATGGCAGCGATTAAGTCCTTCAGGAGGAGCTTACGATAGTTCACCTTTAGGTTTTGAATAACTCCTTGATCCAATGGTTGGAGAACGCTGGTCACATTGGGAGGCAAGAAAACAAGCTCAATCGAGGCTAACTGCGGGATGTTTGTATGAGCCGTGCAATTGTCTGCTATGAGAACAACTTTTCGCTTCTTCTTCAAAAACTGCCTGTCTAAACGCCGTATTGTTTTCTCCCAATTGGTGATGGTCATCCACGCTTTTTTGTTAGCGCTGTAATACACCGGTAAAGATTTCACGTTTTTATAGCAACATGGCTTTTGGAATTTACTAATAACAAGAGGTCTCAATTTTCAGAGCCATCCATATTGGCCCCTAAAAATACTGTAAGTCTTTCTTTACTTTTTTTGCCACTTACACATTTTTAATTTTTTAACGCTAGAGTTTTTTCAGGTAAGACTCGAAAAAATAAACCACATTCGTCGACGTTGAATACATCGCATGGCTTATACCGTTTCAAAATGTCATCTTCTAAAACAGATTTCCTCCAGTGATTCAAAACAGTTTCATCAACACCTCCGGCTTCACCGCATACTGTTTTGAAAGTTAAATCATGTCTTACTTTAAATCTCTGAATCCATCCATTGCTCGCCATAAAATTAGATTCTCCCAATTCCACTGCTATTTGCAGAGCTTTTTCTTTCAGTACTGAACACGATATCGGTACATTTTGTGCTCTAGCCATTTTTATCCATTAGAGAATGGCTTCTTCAATTTTCTCATAAGGGGAAAAACGCATTCTTTTTCTTTTCCCATTTCCAATGCGATGAGAAGACAGAATATTGTTTAAGGTCGTGCGTGGTATACCATGTTCTTCCACAAAACATGCTCTCGATAAATTCGAATTTTCAAAATCCTCAAGGATTTTTTCTTTCTCTGATAGAGTCAACGTCTTTCTCCTTGCCAACATGATGATACAATGAGAGAGGTTCGAATTAAATTCTTTCCTCTGGTGTGGTCAGCAAATGGTCAAGTGGCGCAATGGGAAAACTTATCCTTTGTTCTCGCCCGAACAGCGAAAGCCCCCTCCTTCCTGGAAGTATGGACAGGGACAAGCAATTACTGGCACAATGAAAGCTGGGGAAAATTCTTTGTGAAATGGGGGAGGAAACTCTCTCCAGTTCCAGGTGTGTTCGTTGGCTGCAACATTTTTCTAGAATTCAAGAGGGGTAATTGCCTAGTAAGGAAGTTAAATAGGCTTTTGTTAGAAAAGAGCTCCTCTCGTCTCAGATACAAATGACCTTATAAGCGATAAAGATTTTTGAAACTTAACCAAATATCCGATAATCTATAACAAAGGATTCCTATTCAGTCAGCCCGGACTTTGGAAAAGTGACCTTATATCGAGGTCTGACTGTATATACATACCTGAAGGCGTTAGTAATACCAAATTGTTTTACTAAACATATTAAAGCATACTTTGGACTTTTACTGAGCCTTTTTGGTAAATCCTAGATCTATCAAACCTCATGCTNTATGTATATATATATATATACTGTATATATATATATATATTGCTAAAGATCAACTTTGGGTTGGGTAAGTCCTAAAAAAGGTGCAATCAATCTTTGATTCAAGAGATATGGTACAGGAATATAAAGAGATAAAGAGTCAAAATAATATTATAGAGATCATACACTAAGCCTCTTTTCTGATCAAACTATATTGGGGCTTTACATTTCAAATTTCAGCTACTCCCTATATTATGAAAGTGAGAACCCATCAAAACAATGTATGATTAGTCAGAGGAAATGATGCTTTATTATGTACTTTTATCTGTCATTTGTCTAAATAGTCTATTTCAGATACAGTCCTTAAACCCTTTAATCTAGCAGTTCTTTATTTGTTTTGCCCATGGAACCCTAAATTATTGTCTTATTTAGTGTAACCCTTACATCATAAATTGAGTTCATTAGAAAATAAAAATATATTAACTAAAGAAAGGCTACTAATTAGGTATTTTGAAAATATTGCAAGCTAAGAATGACATTTGAAATTTCTTTTGTGTTGCTAATAACACTTTTAAAATCAAATTTCAAGTCAGATAGTTAAATTGGCTGGGGTAGGGTGGCATATAGTCTAGTATTGAATTAATTATTGCAATTAAGTATTCAAATGCTGAAAGTAAAGCTGGTTTATGGTTTTGTTGAAACGTAAAAGAACTATTACAAACATGGTTATTAGGAAAATTTGAATAAAAAAGTTTAACGAAAAGCAAATTTCAAATTGATAAGTTCAATTGAAAATATATATGCAATTTTTTATAAATGCATATCCTTGTTATAATTTATTCAATGTATTGTTATTAGAAAAAATATATTTTTGAATTTAATTTTTTTCCACTGGCATTTTACTTAAATATTTTTTTAAATAACCAAAATATCAAATAAATAATGGACATTATTAATTAGAAATAACTATAATTAAAAGATACCGACATGTTTATACCTGAGAAACAGAGGACAATTTGTAGCTAAAAAGAGGACTTTGAAAGGACCTTTAAAGTTTAAAAAGAGGAATTCAGAGAACCATTTATAGTTAAAACCATTTATATTCATGTACCGCAATAAATGAGTTAAAGTATTTTACATAAACATTAGAAAAATCAGTTAAACTAAATTCATTTACATACTAGATACATCTAAGAAGATAACAATTAACAAAACAATATAATTTTTAATTTAAAATATGCAAGAGAGATAAGTTATTTTTTCATTAAATTTCTAAATTATTATATAGATTGAAATAACGAATTCTATATGTCAGGCTAGTAGTTTGAACCAAAAATATAATTAGAAAATAGTCGCTAAGTTTTAACTACCAAATTCTGTGATTTTTTTCTAGCATTATTAATTCAAATAAACTGAATGTTGGATCGAAAACCAAATCTTTTTTTATTCTTTAAATCAATTATTTTAAAATTTATTTGTTCATCGAAAATTCAGTACAAAAAGCTAAAAATTAGGACAAAATATTTCTCATGAAGAAAGAATGATGTTTGGAATTTATTTTTTATTTCATCATTAACAATACGTCAAACAGTTATATTTGCTGGAAATATATGCAAATTAATCTATGCAATTGGTGAAAATATTTTTGTTGAAATGAGAATGCAATTGAACTGTTACAACTGTTATGAATGGTTACGAAAAAAAATTGAATCAAAAACTTCTACTACATATAATAATGCATTATTAGAATAAACATATTTTTCAAATGGTATTATTTTTTTCCTAAGGCATTTTACTTAAATATTTTAAAGATAAAACAACCAAACTCTCAAATAAATAATGGACATAATTAATTAGAAATAACTATAATTACAGGACTCCCAACATTTTTCAATCAGAGAAAAAGACGACAATTTGTAGCTAAAAAGTGTACTGTGGAAGGCCAGTCAAAGTTTGAAAAGAGGAATTCAGAGGATCATTTACAGTTAAAACTGTTTATGTTCAGGTCCCACAATAAATGAGTTAGTTAGGGTTTTTTACATAAATATTAGCAAATCAGTTACACTCAATTCATTTAGATAGAAGATCTAATTAACAAATAACAATTAGCGAATAATTTTTTGCTATTTAAAAAATTTAAAATAGATTATTAAATTTTTTTTAATATAAAATATTGGAATTTTTATGTAGTTTAAAATAATGAAACCTGCGGGTAAGGCTATTTGTATGAGCCATTGTTGTTGTTGTGGCTTATCCTCCAATGCCTGACGAAGTCAGACAAGGTACATCAGACCGTTGACCCTAAGAAAATCGAAGACCAGAAGGGGGGATAAGTATATGTCCTCTACAGTCCAGGTTGTGTTCGGAAGAAGCCTGCTCAGTTTGAGATTTGGAGCAGACCTCGAAGATTCTCCTGTCTTCGAAAAAAGAGAGACTTTTTGTGTGGCTGCTTGCTAATCTGGAAATTGCGGTTTTAGAAGCTCTGTCACAATTGAGGGTGAATGAAGAACCTGGCTCTTTGCCCTCATACCAGTGATGGCATGGAGAAATCTACCACCCCTTCGAAATTTCTGAATTAACTATGAATTGATGTTCTAGGAAGGTAAGAGTTGAAGAGGAATTATTAAAAATGAAGCCCTCCTTGGCCAGTACCTCCGCCTGCTCATTGCCGTATATATCAACATGAGAAGGGGTCCACTGAAAATAAATTTTGAAATGAGCTTGAGAAGGATAGAAATACTAGTTTGATCTCCAATTGCACTCCAGTTGTGGAGGTGTAGGAGAGAGCTGTGAGTGTCCGAAAAGATCCAGAGGTCCTCGAAGTCATTTTCATTGAAAACAGCTTCAAAGACTTGTTCAATTGCTATTAATTCATTCTTGAAGAGCGATGAGAAGTCAGGATTGCGTTGGCAGATAGACAGTTTCCTCCCGGTTTCTAGATGTAGATGTTTAATTCCTAAAACAGAGTTTAAATTCCGAGGCAAAGTTTGACAATTCAGAGTTAAGGTTCCTTTCCATTTCAATTAAATTGGTACCAGAGCACCAGAGAACAATGTCGTCGGACAAACAAACCAATTCCTACACCAGTGGGTGAAAATTTCTCTATACCAGCTAAATATAGAGAGAAAAGCATTGTACAGAGTATTGAGACTTGAGGAACTTCCTGAAGCTTGACTCGGTCAGAAAAAGTCTTGTTAAAGTCTATGAGCCATGGATATAATTAGTTGACGGTTGCTAAATTTAAACTAACAAATTTCAGGATTTTTACATTTTTATTTGTAGAAAATTCAATACAAAAAGCTAAAAATCAGGACAAAATATTTTTCACCAATAGGATTGGGACAACTACGAACCCTGTAAAATGTAACCGGTAGTTTAACTTACCATCACTTTCAATCGAATAATCTTCATCACTGTCATTATCGGATATAATATTATCGAATTGTAGATGCATATTTTTGCCTTCTGTTAGCCAATCAGATTGTATTTCATCTCCAATTTGTACAGCAAAATCTAGAAGGAAAAAAAATTTTTTTTTAGTGATAGTATATTCACATCAATGTACAACTTTGATGTGACAAAATGCCTTAAGCGAAATTTTATTTGTTCTAAAACACGTTTAACATAAGAAAAAATTTAAAACAACACAAGAAATATTAAGCAACAATAACAATTTCATTTTTGACTTACAAAATGTATAACATATTAATAAAAGCTTCTAAAAACTACCAATTCATTTATCATGAAACAATTCTAAAAATTGAAGTTAAGAATAAATCTTAGTCGGAATCAAAATTTCCTAAATGAAGGCAATAACAATTAATTAATAAAGGCATTTAAATGAAGGCAATTAAATGGTGGCAATAAAAATTTGTAAATTAAAGCAATAGGGAGAAAAAGTTTGAATAAAGCACAAATGAAAGTACAGAAATGGATATACAATAGCTTCAGTTCTGTAAACAAAAACTTTCCTCTGTGCCTAAACACCAAGTAAATTAGTGCTTGATGCTGAGGAATGTATTTGATGATGGAAAATGACAATAGGTTTTTAGACACTAAGAAAGAAACTCGTTTATGGAACTAAAACTACAGAGCATCTATTTCTATACTTTCACTTGTGCTTTATCCAAGTTTTTTTTCTTTTGTTTGCACAGCACAAAGTACATCCTATCCTTTTTTGATTTTTTGCAAATACTTATTTTTCAAAAACCGTGAAACCAATTTTATAAAGTTTTTTGTCTTATCATTCAAAACTACACTATTTAAGACATTGAAAAATTGAATGATGAATGAAATGAATTTTTTCCCAAATTTTTAAAGCAATAATTTTGGGATCAATTTTAAAATCCAAAGGGTTTGTTCAACTTCATTGAATGTTTTTTAAGTTATGACAAAAAAAAAAATTCATTTTTATAAAAGTGTCTTCATCCCCATAAATACTTAAGCTAGGTTTATGAAACTTTGCGCAATTATTGCATATTATAACCAAAACAAGTCCTAATTTGCAAAATTATTACTATATTTTTTGACATAAGGTATTCAAAAAGATTTTTTTTTCGTTCGTTTTTTGTTGACGGTTCCTCAAACCTCAAAAAGCCTTAAGCTTCAATGATATGTATGAATAATCTGAACTCCACTTTTAAATTTACAAACGGATTTTCTATGTAATTTTTGAGAAATATCAAAAAATGTGTTAGCATCGAAGTGTTTCCATTATTTTGTTCAACACCTATATTAATTTTTAAAAATAAAAACTGGAATCAATATTAATAACAACAAAAAAATTCATGTCTTTTAAAAATGGGATAAATTTTGTGTTATGCAAGATATTTTTTTAAACTATAATTAGTATGTAAGCCCTATTAATGTTTTTAAATTTTGAACTAATTTAAAAGCTATAAAAATTGTGCCAAGTAAATACATTTTCAATTATAAGAATCGGGATTTATTTTTTACTTTTTTAATTTAATCAGATAAAATATTTAACCCTCTGTCTCAAAGGAAATGGTTTCTTCATGTTACCATTAGAAAGTTTAATTAACTAAACATATTTCACACCATAACATACATCTTACAATATTTTCTAGAATAGTAGTTGCATCAGAATACTCACAGCAGTATATAACTTTTACGTTACGCATATTTAGGAGATCTGCATAACATGGTTAAACTCTAATATTGAAAAAAGGAAAGAAATGTAGAAGACAGATTTTATTTCTTAAAAAAAATGCTCTTCTTCAGTAGCCTATGCATGAGACACTTGCTGTACATGAACTTAAGGTTAGGTGCCTGCTACTGACCTATGAAAAAGGCATTTAACAAAAAAATATAATTACTCTGAAAAAAAGGGCGTGGTTAATTAAGAAAATTTTTGTTCCAATACTGATTCAGCAATGATTCATTCAGCTGAGGAGAAGATATAGAAGCAATTCCATATTATGCTGACTTAGATTTATCTGGAAAACGTTTCAGATTTCATTCTCAGAACCACTAGTTTTCCCAAGTTTTCAGTAGTCTAGTTTTCCTTATTTCTTTTTTAGTGAAAATAATTTTAAAAATTTTTTGAAGATTCTTTCAAAATCATCCATTCATCGAAATTGTAAGACCTGAACAACAACAAAAAAATATGAGGAATACCAGTATAAAACACTAAAAATCAGGACAAATAAAGGCATAACATTTTGTATCAGGAAAACTATGAACCCTGCAAATAATAAATACACAGAAATAAAATACTAAGTAAAGAAATAAACTATCAACTTTTCTTTTAAATTAATGTTACCTTTTAGCTTTGATATACATTCTTCTGGCAAGTCAAAATCATCCTCTTCTTCTGAAAACAAAATTTTTATGGCTAATAATTATGTTTAATTCAAAATGCATGATTTTTAACAATTCTTTCTGAATAAAATATAGTATAGAAATAAACATAGAATAAAACAGATTTTAAACAATCAATAAGAGATTACAAAAAATAATATAGCAACCATGTAATGAAAGAGATTACAATTGATGCATAATAATAAAAAATATAAAATATTTGTGTAACATTATTCAGTTCCATGTTTTCTCTACATTTTTGAACATATATATATATGCGCGCCATTTTTGATGCAAATCCTGCTATGAGAGATGATCAAAACAAGAATGAGAGTGTAGATTCACCAAATGTTACTAACTTTCCGATTCAAAATGCCAATTTTATGTCACCACAGCAAAATGTAAAATTGCCGACAATAAAATTAGAGCCATTTCGTGGCGACATTGAACGTTGGCAATGTTTCTGGGAACAATTTAAAACGTCGGTAGTTGATAATCCAAAACGATTGGTTGATGGCATAATTATTATTGCAGATACCTATGAAACCACTAAGAATCTACTCATTGACAAATATGGTGACAAAAATAGAATTATTCAATCTCACTTGGATTTTTTTAGAAAATGTAACACCAATCCGCAATCCATCGTCGACATCACTGAATGAAGTTTATATTGAATGCAACAGAAGGGTACAGGCTCTATGTGCTTCGGGCAAAGATATTGACGCAAACGGTAGAGTTTTATCTCCTAAAATTTTATTTGCATTCCCTGACGATATTTGTAGCCGATGGGTTATTCATTCACACAACTAATAAATTTTCTTGTCGAAGAAGTAAAGATGGCCCTTACAACAAGCAAGATTAAAGGTTTTATGTCTTAAAATCCATCTTAGAAAACTTCAATGTAAATTGCAAGCCAATTACTAAAATTAAGAAACCTTCACCCTTCTGCGAAACTTTAGGATATTAGCTTCAACAGTGCAACTCTGTTACAGACATAGACACACGAATACAGAAATTAAAAGCTACGAATAGACTTTTTTGTGCACTGGATGCGGGCACACAAAACAGAGCTGTGCTCGTAAGGAAAAAGCTTGTTGTGTGAAATGCAAGAAAAAGCAACATGTTTCAATTTGTAAGAACAGTGTTGATCACCCAGGTACTACGTCTACTCACAAGATCGATATTGCTACACCCAACACTGTGCATTTGCAAACTGTAAGAGTTTTCATATCGAGCCCGACTGGTGATACAAGATTGACCTGTTGTCCTGAATGGAGGTAGCCAGTCTAGTTTCATTCATAATGATCTTGTTGATAGTTTGAAATTAACAGTTATTTCTACAAAACCATTGGAAGTGCATGGATTTCAATCTATAACAAATGTTTCCTACGTGAGACAAAAAGTAAAGTTTCTACCATCGAGAATTTGGAATGAGTCTTCAGTTAATATTGAAGCATTTGAAAGTTCCAATGAATATGCGTCACATCCATCTGCTCCAACTGTTGTTTCACAGTTCGCATTCCAGAAAAGAATGAAACTAGCTGACCTTTACAATAACTCACAAAATCTACCTATACAAGTTTTGAATGGTGCTGTTTTATACTGGCAAGTACTGAACACAGAAGCTCCAGTTATGCTGTTAGAATCACTTGCATTGGTTCTATCATATTTTGGGTGGATTCTGAGTGGACCTCGATCATGCTTAACAGTTTTCAATGTAGCTACTGTAAACTACCCCAACACTTTCACTCAACAAGAACCTATCAATGAAAGTGTACATTACTTCTGGGACAAGGAAACAATTGGAATCACAACTTCCCAGGATAGAGAAATGTCTAAACATGATTTGACTGTTTTGAAGAACTTTCGTGACCCATTTAAATTAGTTGATAATCGTGGGGCCGCATCATGAACTTGAAAAGCTACAGTCTCAACAATACCAATAAACAAATCTACTGCTGAGAACAGATTTCAATTACTTAAAAAAAAGCTGGCATCAAATGAATCTTTGAAGACACAGTAGTAAAAATGCATGTTGAATTACATTGAACAAGGATATGTTGAAGTTTGCCCATCTGCAGATGAAACTGAAAACACCATGTACTATCTGCCACATCATGCAGTGAAAAAGAAGCAGCACGATGATATAAAGTGGAGAATCGTATTTGACCCCTATTACCCTCCCCCCCGCTGGATCCGCCACTGTTCCACTATGTTGCAAGTTTATACGATCCCTTAGGACTGTTTACATCATTCACGATAATTGGAAAGATACTCTTTCAAGATACCTGACTTCTTGGAATCAACTAGGATGAAATCCTGCCGACAAACTTGGCTACTATGCGGCATACAGATACAGCACAGCTCGATGCCATTTGCTCTAAAAAAAATTCCTCGTTTCATAGGACTTTCACCGCTTGCTTCCTTTAGTATTCATGTGTTTTGAGCTACATCTGAGCGACCTTATGGCACGGTTTTGTACATAGTTACTTCTAATAATAATCAATAAAGTATTTATTTAGTTTGCAGCCGCAATAGACTTGACTTGAACCTATAAAGAAAGTTATTCTTCCCCACTTAGAGCTTTTAGCAGCTGTCATTGGTACCAGGCTGCTGAAATATTTTTACAATGAAACTGGATTGCTGCCATCCATTGCCACATTATGGAGCGACTCTGAAGTCAGCCTTGGTTGAATTTGGGGTAATCCCAACAGATGGAAAACATTTGTGTGCAACAGGGTAACAGAAATCATTTCATACACTGACTCCTCACAGTGGTGGCATTGCCCAGAACAAGACAATCCAGCGACAAACTATCAAGAGGCGTTCCATCATCCACGCTGAAAGATCTCAACATCTGGTGGAATGGACCCAATTAGCTGACTGAACAAACAGAAAGCTGGCCAGATTCTAAAAAGATTGCTTTCACAATTAGGAGGTAAAGAAGAATAAAGAAATTCAAACATTTCCAATACTAATTTTCAACCCATCATAGATGCAAAGAACTACAACTCCTACTTCAAACTGCTACATGTTACTGCATGGATTCTAAGCTTCATCTCGAACTGTAGATCTTAAGACAAGAAAGTTGGGGAACTTGACACTGCAGAATTTACGATGCTAGAAATTACTGGATACAGATGGTTCAGAAAGAGTTATTTCCATAAGAGCATGAAGCTTTACCAACATCCAAGCCACTGCCAAAAATTTCAAACATTACAAAATTCAACCCACTATTTGAAAATAAATTAATACGTATTGGTGGTAAATTATATTTTTCGAGTTTATCAGAGTCCCCAAAACATCCAATTTTGCTGCACGGATCTCATCATTTCACAAGTCTGCTAATACGTCAAACACGTATCAAAATGCACCACCTAAGTGTCAGAATAATGCTTTAGGAGCTACGTTCAAAGTTTTATATTCTACGAGGCCGACAAGTGACTCACAAATGCTTACGGTGTAAGATGTCACGAGCAATTCGCTGCACTGAAATTGAAGTTCCTCTACCAGCTGATAGAATTAATCCAGTTACACCATTTTTCAAAACAGGAATAGATTTTGCCGGCCCTGTACATATTTGCACTTTGAATCCTTCAGATTCAGCTTACATAGCACTGTTAATGTGTGCAATGACAGAGCCTTACATCTCGAACTTGTATCAGATCTTTAGACAGATAAGTTTCTGTTAGCATTGTAGCAATTTGTGGGTCATAGAGGATTACCACATACCATCTATAATGACAATGCTACCACTTTCCAAGCTGTAAATAAGGAGCTAATACTTCTATGGAACCTACTAAAGAGCAACAGTTTTATGCTCATAATGGCATAATTTAGAAATTCATCGCACCTAAAGCGGCTTGATGAGAGAGCCTAATAGGATTAGTGAAAAATTGTCTTCGTAAATCTCTTGGTATGGCACAAAATTAGTCAAAGAAAATATATCAACTGTCCTTATAGGATAGAAGGAGCCTTAACAGCAGACCCCTAGTATATGAAAAAAGAGATGAAGACAACACAGAAGCCTTGACACCGGCACATCTCCTAACAGGTAGAAAATTAACAGCTATACTCACAAATCTGAATAACAATCCAAGACTTATGAAACTTTACAAACAACAAGACGTGGGGGATATATTTTGGAAAAGATGGTCCAAAGGATATCTGCTGCAACTGCGCTCTTATCACCAAGTTCACAATATTCATAACTTCTTCAACATCCTCACAAGAGATCTTGTGCTACTACAAGAACACGTCAGAGCCAGACACATGTGGAAGAAAGCCTGGCTTAGCAATCAAATTAAAGGACATGATGGGGAAATTTGAACATGTGTGTTAAAAGCAGGTTGAAAGACTATAACTTGACGTACACAGCTGGTCAATCCTCAAGGTTGACCAGGGTGGGGAGGATGTTGCGACATCAGTAACGAGAATGGAGAGCTAGTCTAAATAATCATAACTCTGGTTGGTTAAGTTAATTTTCTTAATAAGTTATAATTAATAAGTTACTTTTTCTCAAAATTTCTAAATTCTTATATAGATTGAAATAATGAATTCTGTAGGTTAGGCTAGGCTAGTTGTTTATACCAAAAATATAATTAGTAAATAGTCACCAAGTTTTAAGTACAAAATTCTGTGATTTTTATTAGCATTATTAATTCAAATAAACTGAATGTTGGATTGAAAATCAAATCTTTTTTTTATTCTTTACATCAATTATTTTTAAATGTATTTATTTTTATGAAATTTAGTACAAAAAGCTAAAAATTAGGACAAAATATTTTTAATCAAAAATATTATCAAGAAGGAATCATGTTTGATATTTATTATTTATTTCATCATTATCACTTTTAAAATAAGATTTTATGTGAAACNCTAGCATTATTAATTCAAATAAACTGAATGTTCGATTGAAAATCAAATCTTTTTTTATTCTTTACATCAATTATTTTTAAATTTATTTGTTTATAGGAAATTTAGTACAAAAAGCTAAAAATTAGGACAAAA